TTTCAACTAAACCTAGCTGGCACTTACACCAGGCCTAACTGAACAGCAAGGTGATATGTACAGTCTCAGACCACCCGCAGTGTAGACCTACAACCTCCGTGCGAGTGCAGTAACAGTAAATAGAAAATTGGGCCGGGGGGTGTTATGAACCCAACCGCGCGTAATGCAAGTATGATCAACCGCATCCACTGTCACGAACGCCTGCAATGAGGTAGTCGCTTGGTGGGCAAGATAACACAGATATAGTATCTGTATGGTCAAGAAAGAAATAAGGTAGTGGAAAGAGAAAAGAAACCAACCTTGAAACTCCTGACGTCAGTTGCAACAGTGCGTCTCGGGGGACGAGTCACTAGATCAACTGTAGGTTTTTGTTTTTAGTGGATTTCAGCTGGGATTATACTAAGAGATGTGCCGCCCATTTACTACATGTCATCCAATCCGGATGCGGTTCTTCATATGGCTGGCTGCAACGGTGACTGTTGATGTCGGGCATCTCACTCACGAACAGATCGGGGACCTGCCCCATCGTGGTTTTGGGCCTAATTACGGTTGATAGGCACTCACGCAGGTGTTGCTGTATTGGGCACTCCGTTGGACGGAATTTGACGTTTCGCAGCCGGAAGTGACGGATCCTGCAGAGAAAAAATCAACGGTTGATATCAGTCATGTTCAGACGTCAGGACTCTTGAGAATTGCTAAGCGCGAGGGGTCGAATTTCGTAGAAGTAGCTTGCCGTCCATAGTCCACTCGAACTTTCTTGTTTGCACTTACGTCCAATGATTCGATGCCTCGTTTCTGACCGCCCGCTCCGGCTTTCTTGATAATCTTCTTCTTAGGCCGCTGGGGACGCGTTTCTCCTGGTTGAAAGACATCTTCGGGAAGGTCGAAGCTGATCCGAGTGTTAAAGTACGAACCCCTAAATTCCAGGTGAAACACTTACTTCCGCACATGGATGATGGCCAAGTCGTTGATACCGGGCTGATATCCAGGCCAAGAGGTACAAGTCGACTTAAATATCTGGGCGTCGGTTGAGATATCCAACGACCGGGATTGGCCTTGTCAAGTCAGTGGGATCAGACAGGAAAATCGGCTAACATACCTGGCTCTAATGGCTTCAATTCCAGCCCGATATAATATGTTGTGGTGTAGATGGTTCGACTCTCGCCATTGGCCTTATCCTCCACGGTCTCGGCGACGTCTCGTTTTTCGATCTGACTGTTAGCCGCGGCCTGGTGAGCAGCGTCGTTTATCTCATCGGTCGTCTCTGTTTTTTGGCCTTTATCTTGATACTGGGTAGAGCCATTCTTCACAGCTTCGGCCTCCTCGTCGCTGCTGACGATATGAACCCTTTCGAAGCCTTTGGGGAACGGATGAGCAACTGCGATGGTTGACTTCCTGTCTAAAGCCCCGACCAAATGTCTAATCTTTGATTCAACAAGTCCAGACCAGACCGCTTCCGCCTCTTTGGTTCTGCTCGACGCGGTTATGCTGAGGTAGTACTTATAATCGCGAGTGAAGAATGAATGTCTTGCGAAGAGGTCGTTCCAAGTGTTTTGTTTCAGGAAGATTTTGTCTACGATATCACCACCTCGTTGCAATTCGCGAAGGATAACAGTCTTGGTTGACATGGAGACGTTGTGAGTAGCGCACATGGAAGGGTATGCGGGGGTAATTATCGGCATCAGGTGAAAGCGGTCACCGTGATAAATCTATGACCAGATCAGCGACCTTTCGAAATCATAAAGTGACCAGCTGCGGTACCCACCTTTGGATTCCAGACTTTCATCTGGAGAGGTCCATCCTCAATTGGCTTCAGCAACACAGGCTGAGGCCACGCCCATTTGTTCATTATCCGGAAGAATTTGCCCACAATCACTGACCCGGTCGCTTGGGGGTATAACTGGCACACTCTAGCTACCAACATAGCCCAAGCAACACCGCCGGGGAAGCCCACGATATTAGAGTAAATGGCTCTGCCTGTGCGTAGGTTGGAACGGTTAGCTGACGAGCACTGGAAGGGTCAAGAACAAAGCTCCTTACGTTGCGCCCAGAGTTTGATAGCACGCAAAGCTAGACGGAAAGTCTTCTGTTGAGGTACAAGCTCCAGAATCTCGTCAGTCACACGAGTTCCATTAAGTGATCTGACCTCTTTTTCATCCAAGCCTCTGAGGTAGTCATTGTTCTTCAAATCGAGGTTGAGCGGAACTGAAGGGACGATCAGGCGGGCATAAATCAAGTCGATACTAATACCGGAAAACTCGAGTTTGATAATAGGTACGAAGGCATCTGGAACAGGGGTCATCTTCTCAATAGCCCCTTGTGGAGCCATTCTTTCAAGAACAGGGGGGAAATCTGAAAAGAAATCGTCGATGACAACATGCTTCGGACCAACAATCAAGGTATCGATATCCGACCCTGCCACGAAGTGCAATCAATACTCGGGAAGTCAGAACAATTATCAAGCACTGCTGGCAACTCACCAGGTCCGTAAACGCCAAGGCGATAACTTCCATAGGTAAAGATCTTTCCTCCGGCGGCCTCCACTGCAGCAGGGGATAGTCCCTTCTTTCGGCTAACGACTTTGATAAACTCGACCGTGACACGTTGGATAAGTTGAAGCGTGTTTTTCCTGTCAAACCAAGGCAATGAGCGCTTATGTCGAGCATTGTGAAAGGCTCCCGATTGCCTTACCTGTGCTCGGTCTCTGTAGGGCTTTCAAAGTTGTTCTGCAGCTTTAGTTCAGAGATCAGATCGTCATTTGCAGCGAGCTCATCTGGAGTCGGCAAGACCGTAGAGATCGGAGGAGTAACCCCCCATTGACGAACTGGTGGTGTGGCCATAATGACTGTCTATTTTAAGGTGTAGTATCATGCGGCGCTTAAGTTCTTAGAAAGCGGAGATGAAAGACTGGAAAGCTAAGAAAGAACGTATGTCTTTTAGAGCTAGGAAAGACAAAGGAAACACGACAAAAAAGGGGGGATACAGGAACGTGACAAGACAAGAAAAGTGAAGGAAAGGGAAGAACGGGGTGAGTGAATTGATGGGAAAATGCCCAATAGTTAAAGAGAGGCTGATCAAGCCAGCGATCGGAGTTGAAGAAAGAAGGTTTATCGGCGCCACGCCTGGTCAACTGACTCAGCAGTGACGCCTGTGTACAATCACGTGCTACTGTGGATTTCCCATACATCTTCGTCAACCAATCATATGAATTGCATCATACCCCAATTTTCAATGTTTCAAGACGGGTTGCAGCCATGCTACCTAGGTATCCCACCAACTTCTCCAGGGAAACTTGCTATAGAAAAGCAGACCTATGGCGTAACCAATTACAATGACGCTCCCGAATGCTTCCCCAGAAACTGGGCCAGTTGCTTGTCAAGCCACTCAACATCATCCTTACTGTCACCAGGGCCCCCCGCCCAGTCTACAAGTAACATGTCAGCAATAATCCTTCTGCAGTATGATAGATATCCACTTACGACCCCAAATGGAGGGGAAAACCCGAAGTGTACCGATTCCCGGTTTCATGCATGCAACCTCATACTCAGAATCTTCCGGGCTGCGGCAATTAGCTATCGGATTGATCTGAGGAAGGTAGATGTGACATACGGAAAGTAAAGGTCGGTTTTTCCCGGCAACACCAACGTCTTCGCTTTGATTGAGGCCATGGCCTTCTCAAAGTCGCCATTGTATGGCTCTTGATTGCTCACGTTCCCTTGCTGCCATGTTTGCAGAAGAACCAGCAGATTTTCAGGGTCTAGATCCACGTTAACTACGAGAGCGAAGACAGAGCAGAGCTGTGTGGATTTACCTTTAGATAGAGCCCACTTCTCCCAGAAACCTTGCATAAAGTCCTCCAGGCTCTTGTAGCCAAGTATAGTCTCATACAGCTTTTCTCTGTAGAAAGCTTGGCTAAAGCCCCTGTATGAGAGAGAGGGACATTAGAAATGGTACAGCAGGGCATGGCTTGTTGTCAGTCCTTACCAACCAGCATAAACCCTGCCCAAAGCTTTCAAGCCGATTTGCCTCTCCTGGGCATTCCATATTCTTGACGCCTGTCCAGCCTCGAGAGAGCGGGTATCTCTCAGGACAGCAGAGGGCGTGTGCTTTGCTGCTAACAGCGCACCTTTCACCCCCTCCAAGAACACCTGGTTATGCAAGGAGGTCCTTGCTGATCCGCAGAATGGCACCACCAAGTCCATGAAGTCCGGGTACTGCGTCGCCCACTGATAGCTTTGGGCTGCGCCCATCGACCACCCGACCACAGCGTGCAGATGCGTTATGCCCAATTGCTGTGTGACCAGTGTATATTGGGCGCGCACGTTGTCGTAGAAGGAACATGTCGGAAATACATCGGAAGCGGAATAGTTGGACGGGGAGGTTGATTGGCCATTCCCAAAGAGCGCCGGGATAACGATGAAGTACGTCTTGGGATTGAGTGTTTTGTCTTCTCCGATCAACCAGACGTTATCCGAGATCGCTGAATGTAAAAGATATTCTGTTAGTATGGCTCCGGAACTTTCTGAATTCTAATACGTACATCCGGAAAACCATGTGGGGTAAACGATAGCTGGCGACTTTGGGTCACCAAATGTCTTGTATGCGATAGACGCATCGATGAGTTTTTCTCCACTCTGTAGCTCCCAATCTCCAAGCTTGAAGGTTTCAAAGTCTTGGTGGGTCATTTTGGATATTCGATCACAAGAGATGCAGTGTGTGATGGTTCTGAACAGCTGTAGTGCACAAAACCCTTTGGGATGAGAGGGGATGGGAAGTTAATTACGTGAAAGTAGGCTCGCTCTGATAGTACCCTAACACTCTATTTATACTAGATATAGGTATCCTATCCCGGTTTGCTTATCAATGATTGGAGAAGACCCCCGAAACTGACAAATGAAAGTTTGAACATGAGAGAGTTTGAACCACTTTGATAAGCCTAGGTGACCACCTGCATAGTTACATCGTCCTTGGGATAGCGAGGTTGGAGAAGTGTGGAGAAATGTGTCACGTCACGGCCAACGTGGTTTCGATTCCGCCCTTGAGGGTGCAAGGATACAAACCAATACTCATTTGACATATCATCATTCTCAAATAACCTACTTCCTTCATGATGATTGACTCCATTCTCAAGAGATGAATGTCAAGTACAAGCCATCAACTACTAGTAACTATCTCCTACCCAAAGCGTGGGTGAGGGGTTGTTTTCGGGTGCTGACAAAAACTCAATCTAATATCGGCCCGAGAGTCGGCTGTGAACTCTACATCCACGCACTCCGTTAAGTAATTCTCACCTATTGGGGCGTCGGATTTGGAAAATTGCACTTTATGGTCCGTGGAAATTGCACAACGAGAGACCCGCAATCTGCTTAACGGATGTAATGATGCGATAGCAGCTAGTTTTGGTCAATCCACCACTGTGAATACCTCCCCATGCAGCGCACTGTTGTGAGAAGCACCTTGCGTTTTTCGACTAGCCATCTCTATAAGCAGTTGTAAGTTTCCTTCGCGCCCAGACAGGCGTTTCCGACTCGGCAAGGCATCATAAACTTGGGCAGAGTCCAGGTCACACAAGTCGCGATTAATATCGCTGATAAACGCATAGTGGAAGCGGAAATAGCCTGCACGGTGTCAAGCCTTGGTACAATCGTTCACTCAGCATGACTTCGGCATTTTTTAAAGCGGGTGACGACTTTGAGAAGGTTCAAGCTGCTCGGCCGGATTTTACACGTGACGCAGAGGTCACTTTCTCAAAGCCCCCTAAGCCAGACTGGAAACAGGGCGAGGGTGCGAATGATGGCGGCGAAAGTTTGAAGAAGAATCATGTCGAGATCGACCCTCATGAGGAAGGAAGGCCGGTTTCATCTAACTACAAGATCTTAATCTCGGGGATGGTTCCTAGACCCATAGCACTCATCAGTACCAAGTCGAAGGATGGAAAGTCTGCCAACTTGGCGCCTTTCAGTTACTCACAGGTCGTTAATCATGACCCTCCTCTCTTTGTCGTCGGCTTTGTTGGATCGCTTGAGAAAGCCAAAGACACGCTGAAGAACCTGGCCGAGACAGAAGAATGCGTCATTAACATTATCTCTGAACATTTCGTGGAGGCAGCAAATGCGACCGCCGTCAACGCTCCATATGGTGTTTCCGAATGGGAGATATCCGGATTGCACCAGGCACCTAGTTCGGTGGTCCAGCCAGCCCGCGTGCAGGAATCAATTTTATCTATCGAAGGCAAACTCGTTGAAACCAAAGAATTTGAAAGCAGAACGACTCCCGGAAAGAAGACTGGAGTATTGGCCATCATTGAGGGTGTCCGATTCTGGGCGAGAGAGGATGCCATCAATGAGGATCGAAGCGTGATTGACCTTAAGGTCTTGAAGCCCATCAGTCGGCTAGGGGGGATACAGTACGGGCGAACTACCGATGCGATCGAGATACCTAGACCACAATTCTAAACATGACGGAACTGTTCCAACAGGGTTGGTTCCCGACTAGTACAAAAGGAACTGCGAGCTATGTTGGACAGGAGTGCACATCGAGAATTGATAAGTGGCAATTTGACATAGGTCTCTGAACCTTGTAGCACCTGAGAGTTCGTCCTGTATTGTAGAATGTAGGCGTTCTGCAACCCCGACTTGAAGCCATGTCACTTTGCTGGATATGTAGTATGAAAGTCGGAAAGACTCTCATAAACTCCGATAAATGATCATATTATTTTCCAAGAAATACCAGGTTTAACGTGCCAGAGATGTGTCTTCTTGGGTGGGTTCTGATCAATTAGGTATCGGAGTTGATGCCGAAAGTCGGTTGACACTGCGATATGTGGGGATAGAAAAGAGGGTCTGATTTCCCCAACAACCCACTGCCTCGGGGACTCCGGGCGGGAAAAGAATGGAGACCCCAGAGTCCAGACTCCAGCTTTATAAGTGATTGTCCGTCCAGCTCCTTAGGCGGTTAAATTGACGCAAAACACCTGCAGGAACCGATCCATGACAATGGTATTCATTTTAGTTCTTCTGTATATTCGGTCTATCTTCCTGTTTTTTAGGCTTCTCTGATTTTCACGATATAGCGCTTGGTTTGATTGTCGCAAGATAGATTTTTGACTCCAAAGCTCGACAAGTAAGGTACATTTGGGGCACGTCACATGAGGAATCGCTGGGTCCAACCTGGAATCCTTTTGGGCCCGGAATAGTCCCGATAGTCGCGTGGATGTAAAGAATTTTTTTTAAGCTTCCTTTGTACAGTTCATTTCCTGAGCCACATACCATGGTGGTTTTAATAATAACCACAGGTGTACGTAATATTGGTAATTTCGCCGTAAAGAATACTAGGTCATGCGATTGGAATTCCAGAAGCCCAAAGGTCAAACAAAGAGCAAACGGTCTAGTCTGGGCGGTCAGGCCAGAACTGGGGTTTTCTCTTTCGGACAATAGATCTCACCATTGGTGAGCCCAAGGTGGTCAGTCGGTCCCTTTCGCGATCCCTCATGGACGGATACCACATACTGTCCTAACCTCCTATTGCGACTTGTTTCTGGTTCAGACCACTGCCGGCATCCAGTTGCCCCCTATCACCAATTACCGCTAAAGCGAAACAGAAAATAGTAATACATTACAACCACACGTTCCCCTCACCCGCCCACTTTATTTCCACGCCAGCCCGCGATCATACTATTGCCCGGAAAACAACGTGGGATTCACCCATCGTCCATGGATTTTTCTCTTTACCTAGTGCTTCTTCCGAAAGATATTCCGTATCGCCGCTTTTCCCGTTTATTGTCTTCTTCTTTTGCGACTCCCCCGGACACCTTTACCGGTGACGTTCGATTGCTATAGAGCGAGGAAGAAGCAGGTGCCCAATGTGTGGTGACCACGGATGATCATTTGCTCGCAATGAGCCACCCTTCTCCCCAGAAGAACGGCGGCAATAATGTTCCCCCTCCAAAACAGATTCGCTTCGTCTCAACCGATGGACAGCCCCAGACTAAACGACGTCGGGTCAACGCGGCGTAAGCATACTCCTGTGAACCTTTGTCCATTGTTGCCTCCCTGCGATGCTGACTCAAGCTTCTCTCGAACAGGTGTCGGACGTGTCGCAAGCGCAAGATACGATGCTCAGGTGAACAACCAGGTGGGTATATGAGACCACTGTGGTACACCATTCATTTTGCTAATACGGTCTTCATCCAGTGTGCAAAACGTGCTCCGACTATAACCACGTATGTTTAGGATACAGCGAACCCACTGCTCATACTCGATCGCAATCCGATGTCGCATCACGCACCCCTGTCATTCCTCCTTTACTGGGACCAAGTGATAGCTCCTGTACAGCAGTGAAAGTTGAGAGTCGTTCTCCAGATTCTCCCTCGCAGGTTTCAATACCACCCAGTGATGATCGTCCAGACAAATCGTCCGGGGCACCGAAGCCGTCGGAACTAAAAGATGCTTCTTTAATGAGGGAAATATCTTCCAAAATTCCGAGGGATTCTGAGCAACACACTGTAGGGGAAAGTCCAGAAAGTAGTATGTTGCGCATAAACCTCAAGGTTGGTTTTGTGTACTCACTGTAACTTTCTTCGATAGGCCGTACGTCTTTGAGCTCTTCCGCTCGCACGCATGTTCCCTATTTCAGATACTTCGGGCCAACTGCTATTGTCCCTGGGTTTAAACAAATGGTTCGAGTACTCAAGTTGGTTACGTAAATGCACACATGCTGACTCCTATTCAGGTTGTCCAGGTCAGGGGCTCGCGCAAGAGTAATGCGTCGCTATCGTCAGGTCAGTAACATTTTGTCTACGGGTTATACGACCTGTTGGGTGATTATTTTCTTTGTGCCTTACTTGGTGCTTTTTTATCCCATTCCTATTCCAACGTGTATTGATTGATGTCTTAAACTTCATAGAATCAATGTCTCCTCTGCGAAGCCCAAAGTTCACGGACCTCGGTGTTGGTCGCCTAAACCATCTCGCTGATAGCCGCGACAACCGTGATGCCAATACTATCCCCTTCTACGATCGGGATGATTCCTTGCCAGTCAGCAATCTGGTGACACACCTCTGTGATCTTTTTTTCGTACACTTGGGATGCAATTTCCCTTTCCTCCAACGTGAAAGGTTCCTCCGTGACTTGAAGGACAAGAAAATCGACACCATGCTCGTGGATGCTGTTTGTACCTTATCCGCACGGTTCTCTCCTCATCCTTTGCTGAGTCCTCCTCAAGCTCCGCCCATAGATGGCTCAGAACCAAAGCTGGATGTGAGGAAGTCAGACCGCGGCCAACCATTTGCGCATAGAGCAATGGGCGCTCTCGTCGATGTTTTATCATGCCCCACATTGTCTGTTGTCCAGGCGTGTTTGTTGCTAGCCTACGAAGAGTTTGGCTCAAATCACGACAGTGGCCTGTGGATGTATCTAGGCATATCCATTCGCATGGCTCAGGATCTCGGGATGCAGAAACTGCAGGGTTTGAAATATAACTATGGCCAGAGTGGTGTGACTCCGAACGCAGTTGTAACGGGGCAAGCGGGGAAGTTGAGAGAGGAACAGTATGACGACCCCCAAACCTCTCAGGGATCAATGAAGGATGCACAGGATAATGAAAACCAACGTGCTTGGGAGCGGGAGAGGGTTGACACCTTCTGGAGTATATTTTTTCTCGATCGAGTCATCTCATCAGGGACAGGACGACCGGTGACTTTGCGTGATGAGGACATAGAATTGTGCTTCCCCCTGCAATCGGAATCCTTACTGCCTAACGGCTGGCCAGCGCCTTTCCCGCCACTTATACGCATAATACATCTGTATGGCAGGGTCACGGATCTCATCAATGGAATTCAAGATGTGAAACATGTCACCACGGACACCCTCAAGAGATTAGCCGGGATGGAAAGTGATCTTACTGGCATATACCAGCGTTTGTCGCCTAGGCTTCATTTTAACGCGGCCAACTTTCAAGCGTACGTAAAGGCAAAAGAAGGAACGAATTTCATCCTTCTCCATTTTTGGTTCCACACTTTGATAGTCCTCCTCCATCAACCAACGCTACTAAACTCGTTTGGGGGTTCTATACAACACCTGTATCCAAATAGCAGGGAGTTATCGATGTCTTCTGCCAAAACCATTGCGGATATACTTTCATTTTCTGAGCTCGTTGACGGTAAGAGCTTCATCGGCAATCCATTTACTAGTCAGCCGATGTACATCGCCGCGTGCGCGTTTCTGATGGAGAGCACTTATTACTCGCCGTTGTCAGGGCCAGGCTCTCCTCCCTGCCAGCCTTTGTTGACAAATCAAACAAGTGGCTTTGTTATGCCGAATTTAGACCACCCGTCAGATGGATCAGAACGAAAGCCGACTGCTAAACATATCCTCCTTTCCTCTGCTGCGAAGGAAAACTATCAGAGATGCTACAAAGCCTTGAAGGCTCTTGAGACTTACTGGGAGGGAACCAAGTATATACTCACTGTTCTCGACCAAAAGGCCAAGGGAATTGTCGATCCTCTATTATATACCGAGGAAGAGATGGAGGGTACCGCTGAGATCGCATCGGTTCAACCATTTGCACCTGGTTGGCGTCAGCCAAGTGCGCCGCTAGGTGCTGTTGGTGACTCCGATGAGTCGATCATAGGTTTGGAAGTACGGTCACCAAGAATTGATCCTAGCCAAGGTAGGCATTTGAGTCCCGGTTCTTACTAGTAGCTCCCTTTCTCAGTTGAATCTTGGATATCGACGGTATTTGGGCTGACTTCAATTTCTTCAAGCCATTGGATGGGCTCTTACAGGAGCAACCAACTCTTCGCAGCCAAATCTTAGCGTACTATATCAAATGCCAGCTGTGCAAACGGACTCCGTTCCTAATAAGCCAGCTTATTCGTCTCAGTATAGCCATAGCTACCCTAGTTTACCGATGCAAACTAGTACTGGTCCTAGCTCGAGCTCCTATACTCAAACGCTCGAGCCTTCCAGGTCTACCGCCGCTGCGCCGAGCTCGCCGATTACAGCTGGCCCTGGAAAATATTCCCCACTTGCCCCGTCTGGCCGCGTTTCAACATCAGATGCCAGCCTTCTGTTGGGTCTGAACACATCTTTCTCGACGTCCGCATCCCGACCTCCTCATTCTCACCCCGCCTACAATCAAAACCTGACCGCTACTTCATCCCGGATTGGTGCACCAACCTCTGCCTATAACTACAACACCGCCTCTACTGGAAACGGCCAGCCAACAGGTAGCAGTCATATGAATTCCAGACCCTCACAAATGCACCCTAGCTCGGGTTCCCACGTTAGCGATATACTCATCGAGAGCCAAGATATTGATATGGCTTCCCTTCAACAACAAGACCAATTTCCATTCACCTTTAGCGGAGAAATACTCCCTTGGCTAGAGTACCTCCCACAAGATGTCCTCAACTACTTCGGGGACCATCCGAACTACCCGTCTATGATGAACCCCG